CAATATTTAGTGGTAGCTTATCAGTGGTGACTGTCAGTTAATGTACATATGGCAGAAATGTACAGAAAAATCTATTTAAGACGTAATAAAACACGATGAACACTATTAACAGCAATTATTATACGATGCAATCAAATTTATAGCAAAATGTGGTAGTTCTGTATGTAATGTGTTTTTTGAACCTTAAACCGCATAAACGCATTTCATTACACCAAATACACCAAATACTGTTATTTTTAGCAGCATCATATGACCCCTTTAACACTTATTTAATCTGCATATAAAATATAAGAAAGGAGCTATTTGTTTCAGTTTTATTTTGTGTTTGACTGTTAAAACTAAAATAAGTTGCCGATTGTCTTAAATTGGTTAAATTAAAAAATACAGTGGTTAAATTTAAACCTTTTTTCTACTGCTCTTTAAGAAAGGTTATAAAAAAAGTCAATAATTATCGATACCGAATGATATGAAACAATATATCGTGATACATTTTTTAGCTATATCGCCCAGCCCTACTACTAGTTTTTTGTCTTGTATGATCACCTCCCATTTAAATTCAATTCTGGAAGTGCTTTAATTACTGAGAGATCTGGTTGACACCCACAAGACAGTAGACTGTAAACCATGTCAGAGCAATTACATTTTATGACCTCCTTGCAAAGCATTTGCAGGTATGTGTATTTTTAGTAATTAGTTGGAAGACTTGATATATTTTTCATCTGTAGTGGGAAGAAATGCACACAATTATGCAGATTTTATTTAAATCAGACTTTAGTTCCTATTTCAGAAATGTATTGACCCTAAAGAACTAAGTCCACCCCAAAATAATGATCCGGTGTATTTGTCACTGCGTTAAAATGTGTTGTTGGAGTTTATAATAATAAATTATTTGTATTTTATTTATTTATTTTAAGTAGTTTGTTTCATTGCAAGAAAGTAGCTAACAATATTAAAGAAATGTATAATTTAATCAGACCAGTGAATCTTGGGCTGACATGTAGCAATATCAGCTGTAATGAGGATTTTTCACATTTGTGAACCCTGTTTTAGTCAGTTGCCTCATTATTGGATTCATTTCAAGTAAATTGAAACATGTGGCAGATAACATTTCACCGGTTCTATTTATAGGTTTTTTTTTTTTTTTTTTGCTACAGTGCTGAAGTATTTATATGGATCCTGTCTGTAAAAATAGACCAGTCAGCATTTTATGGGATTTTCTGTAAGCGGGATCAGTTGTTACTGATACCTGTTATTGCAAATAGAATTAGCTTGATTTGGATTAGATTTAATAAACATTGGGGCAAAAAAACAATCTTAGTCATTCACACTGTGATCACTAATGAGATGGAGACTACTCAGAAAACAAGATGAAACCAAAAGACATTCTGATTCATGCTAGTCTGTGATGCAGTGAAATGGCAACTTGTTGAGTGACTTTGTGATTAAATGTTTGGAAATGTTGTAGCTGGTTTACATGGCATTCAGATGAACAATACATTCTGTACCTCTTTTAATTTTTAGTGATGTGATTACTCTAGTAATGAAACTCTTTAAGTTGCATTTGTCACACAACCAGATAGTGAGCAAAGTTGTTGGATGTGACAACCTGTTATAATTGCTGTATTATTCATCATTGTTGCTTCTTGTTTGTCTGTTTGTCCAAGTTTACCAGTCACCTTGTAAAGACTTACATTTCCTTGACTGTTTTTGGTGTAAACACAATGAACAACAGCAACATCCTATCATGTGATTTCAGCGTTGTCTTACTATAGTCATCCTCATGCACTAGGGATTTTTTAAGGGATTTCAATAAACCCATAACTCTAAATATGAAGCTTCAGTGCATATCCACGTCTTGAATACTTTATAGAATTATAGAATGTAGTCGATAATTACAAATTGTATTTTCGGCAGATAAATATTGATGATGAACGCCAGATGAGCTGTGAGTAAAGTGTAATGATTTACTCTGGTTTGCCCTGACTAACCCTCTCTTCTTCTCTCTCATTGTTTGTTCTGTAGGCGAGTTATCCTGCCTGGGAGGACTTTGTCACCAAAGGGGCTAAGCTACAATCTCAGTTAAGGTAAGAACAGGCCTCCTGCGTTACACTCTTCCCTGAATAGGGAGTAATTATGATAATCTTGTTTCGAAAGCAGGAAGTGCTTGGTTATTACATAATTCTGGAAGGATTTGTCATCCAGTGCAAGAGGAGAGCTAATAAAGAAACATTTGAGAAGTATGTCTTTTAAAGGATGCAAAAAGGCAGTGAAGAGACCGTGATGAAGAAAGAAAGGCACTTCATAATAAAGAAATAATTTAGAAGTAGAGAAATTTAAATGCAGACAATTAGGAAAGGCGTCACATTTAGTTTGACACAAATGAAAATAAGGTGGTATAGTTCATTCAATGGGTTGTTCCGTCTTAGGCTGCATTTACACTGGCACAAAAAAAATCTGATTTTTTTTGCTCACATCTGACACAGATGGGAATTTGTTGCACTCGTGTAAACACAAAAATCCGCACAAGATCAGATTTTTTCGCATCCGATCTGAGCCAATTCCAGACGTGGTTTTAAATTAGATACATATCCGATATCTGGACATCAGACCTACGTCTAAACACACACATCCGATTCCTTACAGAACTCCCAATGCGAGGGCGACACGTTTGCCCATAAAGATTGTGTTTTAATGCCAGTGTGCTGTACGCGCTCGCATTTTATTGATATGGAAACTTTATATAGGTAAGAAATTGTACATTTAGGAGCTGGTTTTCAATCCCTGCCCCTTGAATTTTAGAAATACAACAGCTAAAAGCTACATTATATTTCTCAGCAATGAGGTGATAACAGTTTTTGTAATTAAACCAGCAAGCTTCACACTCGCTCGCGCGTTCTCTCTTTCTCTCTCTCTCTCTCGTTAATTCATTTTAATTAATTACAATAAATATCATCTTGGCGCTACTAAAGAATTCTACCTCTAACGTGCTGTAGATAAAATAGTCTAACAAATGTAAATTACTGTTATTTTCCGTTATTTATCCATTCAGTCAGATTTTGTTCTGCAAAACATCCATGACAGCCATTGGCCATGCTGGTAAATAATAATGGGCACTCGACGTGAATTATATAAATTTTAATAGCACGGCCATTCAAAACCCAAGGGTCTACCATGTGCATAGTAAAGCGATAACTGCTGTCAATCCTTTTGGGCGGGAATTAATTTAAACACAGATATCGGATACCAGTCGTGTCTAAAGTGAATGTAAACAGGCGGGCCAAAAAATCGGATTTGGTCAAAAGATCGGATCTCTGCATTTAAAGGGGTCATATGATGCGATTTCAAGTTTTCCTTTCTCTTTAGAGTGTTACAAGCTGTTCGTGAATAGATAAGATCCCTGAAGTTGCAAAGACTAAAGTCTCAAAACCAAAGAGATATTCTTTATCAAAGTTAAGACTCTGCCACACCCCCCTAAAACGGCTCGTTCTAACACGCCCCCCCCCCACATATCTAGGTCACTATGTGGGAATATTTGCATAATGCGCCCAAATGTGCACGCAAAGAAAGAAGGTGTGGTTTCAGTAACCGCAGTTAGTGTTGAAGCAGCCATGTCAGGGAGACGCTGTGCGTTTCTAGGCGAAAGCAAAAGCACTTTATTTGGCCTTTCCGAAAGTAGATGCATTTAGGAATCTTTAAGATTACTTACAACAGAACAGCAATGCATTTTATGGACTACCGTTTCATGAACCTAGGAGAGGAGGT